AAACTACGGCCCATGTTTTTAAAACTGCTCTTAATTTTTAGAGTAAAAGACACACTGCCATGAGTTCTCCTCCGAATCCTCCCTCACCTCACACACACACACACACACACACACACACACGCACACACGCATGCACGCACGCACGCGCGCACACACACCATAACCCACTGGCCCCGCCACTGCCGGAGCAGCTCTGGAGGCCCCTTTTCCTGTTTGGTGGCCGCCGCATCAACAGGAGGCTTCGTCCTCACCCCGGCTCTGGCCCCACGCGACGTCTGGCTCCTCCCAAAGTCAAACTCCTCAGGAAAGGGAAACATTTTAAACTGATTCTGAAAAACAAAAAAAAACAGGCTGTTGCTCCTGGCGGTGCATAATACAGCTGCTGTCGGTGTTTTTGTTTGTTTGTTTGTTTGTTTGTTTGTTGCTATCGGTGTTTGTATATAAATATGAACATAAAGATAAATCATTTGGATTCTTGGAAGCTAGCTGTGCTGCCAACTTTGGCAGAGTGACCCAGGTCACGCGTTGAGCTGGCCCTGTGCAGAGATGGGCAGCCGCGCTGGCCCCGGAACCCTAGACTTGGTACAGGCAGAGTGCGCTGTGCTAAATGTGTAAGGTCTCGTCTATGTGGGTTTGATTACAGAGACTAATAAAGTATTCTCTAAATGATGAAAATTAATTACCTAATTAATTCAGGACATCAAGGCAGATAGGACAGCAGCAGCTGAAGACCCTCAGCGGAGAGGACGCCACAGCCGCTGGGTGAAGTGGCCGGGCGGTGCCCAAGCTGTTGGGGGGCGGGGGGGGGCAGGGGTCACAGCAATGCTCACTTGAACACATTTTCTGAAATTTAACCATTCCCAGGCTGGGGAGGTAGCTCAGTGGCCTCAGTGCCTGGCAGCAAGCGCAATGGCCCAGGCTTGATCCCTGGTCGGGCTGGCCTAGGTCCCGGGGACCTGTCTTTGACAGACCCCCAAATCGGGCATGGTGATGCATGCCTGTGATCTCAGCCCTGGGGAGGTTGAGACAGGAGGATCCCCAGGAGTAGGAGCTGCATAGCGAGACCCTGTATCCAATAATACATTTAAAGAAAACCTTCATTCCCCTGTCCTTCTGTCCCACCTCAGATAATCTCTCCAATTTCCTTTAAACTCTGCTGAAGGTGTTGAGAATTCAGCAACACCTCTAACTTCAGCCAGAAAGAATGCAGTCTCTCCCAAAACGCCCCTTTGACCCACTGGCTGTCCCGAAGCGACCTGCCCTGTGTCGCCGCAGCCTGGAGGGACCCGTGTGTCCTCGTGGTCCTGGAGGCCGTAGTCCAAGAGAAGGTAGCCAAGCTGGCGCCGGGAAGGACCGGCAAGGTCCCTGGGTGAGACTTCTCACATCCCCGAAGGCTGGGCCCGCCTGCGTCACCCACTGCTAGCGGGCAAAAGCGCCGCCTCCTCTGTCCCTGGGCCACCTCCGCTCCTCCAAAGAGTGCGTGGGCACCTCAGAAGTGCCAGCTGTGTCCCTGCACGGATGGAGTGAGGCAGCTGTTGGGAGTTCCCGGAGCAGGGCACTGTCAGCGATTTAGGTTGCACCTCCGGGAAGAAGAGAATAAAAGACCCTTAAAGCCCGCCCCCTAGTCCTGCTGCCACATGTTGGCAAGCACATGGCTGCTGTGCCTTACCCTGGTGTCGCCCCCGCCCTTGCGAGCTAACCGGAAGGCTCCACAATTCACAGTTTTAAAGAACGGGGTTTGGGATCCCCTGAGCGGTCCACTAGACACTGCAGGTGTACAGGTCCATCCGCGGATGAGTGCTAAAGACGACGTGGGAGTTACACCCAGTGGAGTACTACTGTGCCACAAAGAAGGATGGGCTGGACGCCTTGGTAGGAAGATAGATAGACACTGAGTGAAATGAATCCGACACGGAAGGTCCGCTGTCGCAGGGCGCCTCCTCTAGGAGATGATCTGGCTTCTTACTGACACCAGATTGGGTGGACCGCAGGATCGCCAAGGAAGGGTGGAGCAGAATGTTCTCGCAGCTCTCCCCGGCAGGAGAGCGGGCACTCGTGCCTCTCAAAACCTAAAGCTTTTAAAAAATACTTTATTAGTCCATGTCCGTAGCACGTAGTGATTCCTTTCCTGGGTAGACACAACTTGTACCCCCTCCTGTCACTTGGTCCCCTCTCCACGGAGAAAGGTCCACCACCCCCTGCCCCCTCCCCACCCCCACCCCTCCACCACCTCCCGGCTTTGGCTTCCCCCAGAGGACCAAGAACCTCAGCCGGTGGGCTCCACCGCCCAGCGTCCAGCCCCCTCCCACCGCGCGGCCGCCAGCTCACCCTCTGGGCTTTTCACCAGCATTACAGTTTGTGTCCTCTTTGTTTTGTTCACTGGCATTTCTGTTTTATTTTTACTGTATTTTATTTCTGTTTTAGTTTTAGTTCTGTGAACATAACAGGATTTGGCAAAAAAGAGAAACCGAAACAAGACATCAAATTGTTTCTAAATTTTTAAAGGATTTCTTGTAGATGACAGATAACTAAGCAAGAAAACATAACGGGAACATTTTGCAATATTTGTTTCAAAATGATCTCCTCATGGTCTGTTTGCACGTGGTGTTCACACTCCCCTGAAGTGACAGAATCTGTGGGTTTGGGGGCTTTTCAACTTTTTTTTTTCCATGAAATATCTATTAGCATATTTACAGAAATGACCAGCACATTTACAATACTGTTTTTTGTCTTTTGTGAAAAAAATCACTTTTTAAAAAAATCCCAACCACACATTTTTAATAAATTGGAAAGGCAGATGCTCCCGTGAGTCCCCACTAAGGTGCTCCTTCCACTAGGCCAGGGGTGTTGTTTTTTGTTTCTTAAATTTATTCTTTGAGACAGGGTCTCACTATATAGTTCAGACTGCACTTGAACCTCACTTTAAATAGGACAACCCTTTTTGAACTTTTTTAAAACCTAGGAACAAGAGTTGAAGCAAGGCCTTCTCACTGAGCTACTTTTATTTTTTATTTTGAGACTAGGTCTAGCCAGCTTATCCAGCTGGGACTCCACGTTGCAATCCTCCTGCCTCAGCCTCCCCAGTAGCTGGGATGACAGGCAGGAGCCACTTCGCCTGCTCTGATAAAATACACCAACCAATTCCTTATGGTTAAATTTTCCTTTCCCCTGAATGCACTAGAATAGTAACCGAAGGGGAGGGAGTCTCGCAAGGACCTTTGGGCACACAGGCCTTTTGCTGACCCTCCTCGGCAGGAGGAAGCGTCCCACCAGCCATGGGGAAGGCGTCCTTTTTCCCCACAGCCTCTCCAGCGTTTGCTATTAGTTGATTTCTTTATGACAGCCGTTCCTTCAGGAGTGAGATGGTACCTCAGTGTTGAAGTACCATTTTAGCGTGCATTCCCCGAATGGCCAGCACTGTGGAGCATTTTTTTCATGTATTTATTTGCTTCTTGAATTTCTTCCTCCGTGAAGTGTGCACTCATCTCAGATGACCATTTTTGCATTAGGACTTTAAATTTGGGGGGCTGAAGGTTTTTTAGTTCTTTATAGAATTTAGATAGAAGTCCTTTGTCTGAGTGATTGTTGGTTACCATTTTTTTCCCAATTTGTGGGCTGTGTTTTCACTCCGTTGGTGATTTCTTTCGACATGTGGAAATGAGCGAGGAGACTCCTTAAAGAACTAGGATTAGAAGTCCATTGAACCCAGCTATGCCCCTTCTGGGTATTTTTCCAAAAGAAATAAAAACATCATACCTAATCAACATGTGCGCACCTGTGTTTATAGCAGCGCAGTTTGTCATAGCTAAATCTTGGAAGCAACCCAAATGACATCAACTGAGGAAGGGGTAGGGGAGATGGGATATTTTTATACAATGAAGTGTTACTCAGCTATAAGGAAAGATCAACTCGAGGCTTTTATAGCTAAATGGAGGCAACTAGAGACCAGGCCCATAAGTGACATAAATCAGACCCGCGTGTTTAAACATCGGATTGTCTCCCTAGAGTAAGAACCTGAAAGAATAAATAAAATCTAAAAAGTATGATAAATATAGTAGAATGGAAAAAAAAACTGAACATAAGGAATGAATAATAGAGATGTGGGAAAGGAGAAAAATTAGAATAAAAAAAAGAAGAGGGAATAATATAAGTATATACACAGGATAGTGGAGATGATTGTACTACTAATTTCTATCATAAGGTAGCAGTTAGTATTTAAAATTTTTATTTTGACCAATTTTATATGGCACTGTCTGCACTCTGAGCAGCTACACTGAGGACAGTAATGCGTGGTGTCAACCACAGCTGCGTACATTTCATCCTGTTTTTTTAAATGTGTATTGTGTCTAGTGTCTTACCTATTTTTTCTATACTCTCTTTAAACTAAATTTAAAAATAAGTAAAAACGACAAGGAAAAAGATTAAGGTGTATTGAAAGGAAGAGTTAACGTTTTAGCTGTCGAATCAGTCCCGCATGCCTCCATCCGGTAACCTGAGCAACACATTGGGTGACAACAATATGTAATATAACTACCATTGTTAATTTTTTATTCTTGTTTAGAAATTCTGTACCATTCCTATTGTTTTACGGGGTCGGGGAGATAGCTCAGTGGAATAAGCACTTGCCTGGCAAGTGAAAGGACCCGAGTTCAATCCCTGGTTGGGGGGGAGCCCTATTGTTTTATGTTGCTTTGTTATTGTCTTTGTTCTTGTTGTTTTTGTATTTTTCCTCTTTAAAATAAAAAATAAAATAAAAGGGAGGCGGAAGCCTGCCTGGGCTGGCGCGGGGTCCTCTCCTTGGGGACCCGCCCGCTGTCCCCTCTCCACGTGGGGGACAGGAAGAGCTCGGTCCGGAAAGTCCGCGGGGCCGGCAGGAGAGAGCGCTGACTCGGCTTCGCTCGGCACGTCCTGGTGCGCTCGGGCTCGGGTGAGTCAGCCGCTGCCGCGTCTACGCTGTCGGCTCCGGGACCCGCATTGTACTCGGGCAGTCGGCGGGAACGCCCGGCCGGCGAGAGCGCTGCGGGCCGCTGGAGGAGGGAGCCCGGCCCGGACCCTGCAGGCGCAGGCGGCGCGGTGAGTGCGGGGCAGAGCGCGGCCAGGGCGCGGGCGCGGGAACCGGAGCCTGCCCGGTCGGTCGGGAGTGGGCGCGCGCCCGCGACCACGCTGCGAGGCTGAGGCAGGAGGGTAGCAAGTTCGATCCCAGCCGGGGCAATTTTTCAAATGAGCGAGATTCAGCCTCAAAATAAAAAAATCAAATCAAAGGAGACAAGGGACCGCCGGAGCTCAGCGCCCGGCCGAGGGCTGGGGCTTTGGTGCCCCTCTGTCGGGACCTCGGGCGCCTGGCAGTTATCACCGCGGGCAACCGCCCAAGGCTCAGCGCAGGGCAGTCAGCGGGGTGCAGAGGAGAGGAGAGGAGAGGAGAGAGAAAGGGGGGAGACGGGAGGGAGAAGCGAGGGAGAGGCGAAGGAGGAGGGAGGAGGCGGAGGTCCCACCGCGCCAGACCACTCGCTTGAAACCCGGTCGTGCTCTGCGAGGCGCCGGGAGCGCTTTCCCAGCCCTGGCTCGCCGAACGCCGGGGCGCGCGGGTCCCCAGCGCCGAAGGGCCCTGCGGTCGGCCCGGGGCACGTGGGGTCGGGAGGAACCGGGAGGTCCCCGAGCCTGCGTGTGCTGCCTCCCGCGTCCTGCATGGCCGTGTCCGCTCTCTGCTCTGAGCAGCCTCTGTGCCCGGTGGCCGCGCTGAGCTGGCCCGTCCCCTGTGTAGCTCAGGCTAGCCTCCAACTCCCAGTGGCCCTCCTGCCTCAGCCTCCAGGGTGCTGGCTCACAGGCGAGCCTGCAGTTCCTTTGCCACCATCGCAGCAGGGGCGGGGCTCGCGCTTTATCCCGGGAACGTCCCAAGAGAGCGCGCACTGAACTCTTCTGTGAATCCTGGGACACAGACGCGCTTTATGGGGCCAAAAATCCGGCTGCGGTGGTGACCTGTCATAGCCACGAGGCAGAATTACCCCACTCCCAACCGGGGATTGAACGCAGGCCCTGGCACTTGCCAGGGAAGCGCTTATTCTACTGAGCCATCTCCCCAGAATTTCTTGTTCATACTTTTTATTTATTTTTTAGGAGTCCCTGTTTGCAGTGCATAATGACCTCAGTCCTCCTGGGACAGTGAAGGACAGCGCAGGCAGGCTCTGTGTCCTCCGGTTCAGGGTCCTCTGCCCGTTTCTCTCCTGCAATTTTTACCTTTCCCTCCATCTCTTGATCCAATTTGTTTCCTTCCTTCCTTCCTTCCTTCCTTCCTTCCTTCCTTCCTTCCTTCCTTCCTTCCTTCCTTCCAA